AAATGGCTTTACGATTTAGATACTGTGTCGCCAGTCTGAAATTTCGTTATTTGTTGAAATTTTTGTATTTGTGCATGAAATTTTTGCAAATTTGTTTAAAAAAAGAATCCATTCATTCATAAATGATAATGGATTGCAATAGGTTGAAGAGAACCTGTATGCATTTAGTCATTCATCTGAAGTGTCACACAAAAATAGTAGTAATAATAATAAGAATGCGATATGCTAAACTCACTACTGCAGCAGTAATTAATTATCGCATTGCAAATGCATATTATTACACCACTGCAAGTAATAATATTACAATAGAATTTGATAATGCGATCGCTGTATCGAGTATTGTATCGTCGCGCTTGCACGAGCGTTTATCGCTTTGTATAGTTGACTTTATTACAAGAAGGAAGTGTGTTCGATCGGTAGAGGTATCCAATTTTGAGCGATTTGAAATTGAAGCGATTGAAAGATCCAGAGTATTCGTTGAGAACAAGTAGGAGAACTTCAAGGAATATAAGAGAAATCGATGAATGTATTTTCTTGTTTTTAATGATCAAATTGTGATACACTTCGATATTGCTAATGAAGTTAACATGCTGGCGAAACATCAGCGAGATTGTGTCTTGAAACATGGCTTCGATTCAAATTGAATCAGTTTGATGCAGTGATTGTTCAGTTTATTGCAGGTACTTGGGTCGTAGTGGTGCTACTGCTGCTCAGATAGTATTCGGTTGATACTGAGCAATCGAGGATTAAGTGAGCGGAAACTGATTTGCAATGTCAATCGTGGATTTAATTTGTCGTTTAGTTGCGAGAATATATTTCACGTTTGTGCATATTATATGTTGGATTGTTGGAGTGGTTCTCAGGAAACGAAATGTATCGAAACCAGAGAATAGTCTACTGCTAATGAGTGCGAAACAAGCGGCTGATAGGATTCGCAAACGAGAGGTTAGTATTCCAGTTTCCAAAAAAAATTAGTGATCATATTCGAGTTTTCCATAAGAGTTTTCCATAAGATTCGCTAAAAGCTGTGGCCAGTACCTGGACTTGAACATTACGTTTTTTATTATTGTTTATTTCAGATCAAAAGTATCGATCTGATTGAAGCGTATATTGCTCGAATTGAACAAGTGAACGGCATTACCAATTCGGTTGTGGAGAATAATTTCGACGAGGCACGTCAAAACGCACGAGAAGTGGACACGATTCTGGATAGTATCGATGAGAAGGGCGAAGCTTTCAATGAAGTTGGTGGTTCCAATGATTGATTTATTGTGTGGAAAATTATTTCAGTGTAATGTGATCGAACAATATGGATAGTGTAACCGATGCGTGATTTTTGAGCATAGAATATGTCTTATTTTACAAAAGAAAGATCTGTTCAGTCTACAGTGATTTCATTTATTATGTTTTACGTGTGTTATTGGTTGTTGTGATCGGAAACTGCAGTTACAATTGATTATTGCAGTTAATGAATGCTAAACCCCTTCTTGGAGTACCGTTCACAGTCAAAGACTGCATTGAAGTGAAAGGCATGCACTGTACCGCTGGACTGGTGAATCGACGTGATATGGTCGCTTCCGAAGATGCAGACGTGGTGGCGAGGTGCTTTATTGGATTTGCGTTGCACTCAAATGAATTGGAAATTGAGAATTTCTTTCCATGACAGCGAAATATCTGGATTGACCAGGCTAACAAACTCGACACGGGATGCGCTAAAAGAGATAATTGATGATAGCTGTGGCCACCTTTTTGAGAGCACCGTTTAACCTGGATTACTATAGATGAGTGAAATTTGGCCACCACGACAAAGAGAGCAGAACAAGGCTTAAAAGACAAGGAATGAAATTTACATTTGAATGTTACTGGTTTGTAGGATGAAGAATGCAGGTGCCATATTGCTAGCCGTGACTCTGGTACCTGAGGTTTGTATGTGGTGGGAATCGGCGAATCGCCTGCATGGTCAAGCGTGTAATCCGTACGATACACGCAGAACGGTTGGCGGAAGTTCGGGTGGTGAAGCGGCCCTGGTCGCGGCCGCCGGCTCAGTGATTGGACTAGGATCGGATATTGGCGGTTCCATTCGAATACCGAGTTATTTCAATGGGGTGTTCGGACTGAAGCCAAGCTCAGGTGCGTGATGAGTTGATTTTGTTGACGAATCGGAAACTGCAGCATGAAACGTCGGCTGGCCACAAGTAGAAGTGTATAAAACGAGAAGTGAGATTTAGGATATGAATATTCGTTTGAGATTATGAAATTTATCGCCGATGAGCAATTCCATTGAAATGTCATCATATTCGTCCGAAGGCTTTCATTGTAAGCTTTATGTTTTTGTTGCCTTTTTAAACTGAATTTCTGTATCGGTTCGATTGGGCAAATTTCATCTGAGTGATCGAAGGAGCGATTTTCTGTGTGCATGTAAGCGATTTTCAGCAGCCAGTTTTTTTTTAATGCATAGAATAATGACCTATTGAATTGTTCTTGTCGATGTTCAGGTATCTGAATCACTTCGTATTGTCGATTCAGCTGATTGAAGAGATAAACTTTAATGGGATTGTTTTCATTGTTTAATTAGAAATATCACGAATCGCCTATTCAGAAGAGGCAAGAAACTAGTGAGAAATTGAAAAAGATTAATAATTTTACGTGTGTATCTTCATGAAAAGTTAATGATGGGTTTATGTGGTGAGATATAATTTGAAGTTGGTTTGTGGTGTAGGTGTGGTATCACTTGTTGGTCATGTCATCGAAACAACTGGACATCCAGAGAAGATGTTGCGTATTGGACCGATTTGTCGCTATGCTGAAGATTTACCAATTATTCTTAAGGTTAGTTTTTACTCACTCTTGCACTTTACTCAAGTATAGTTTCAATGCTCCGATCTTGTTCTATGTGACATTTTCACGTTGAAATGTAAACAGCATTTAGAGTTGTTTTAAAGTTGAACAAGAAATGGAATCAATTTCATCTGCATAACCAAAGCGATATTTTTAGGTGATAGTATCGGACGATAAATTAGAATCATTGCAATTGAACAAGTCGACAGATTTGAAAACGTTACGTGTCTTCTACATGAACGGCATATCGAATTGTTTCGTGGAACCGCTCGGATCTGAATGCAGTAACGCTCTGAAACTGGTGAGATTTTGAACGAATGCGAAGAGGTGGCAAACAGAAATTTGACGGATTAATTTAAGTTTTTCCGAATAGTCATCGTCTTACGCAATATCGAGTATAGGCGGACTACAACTGAAGTGGAAGTTGTTTTTCGAAGGCGGAATCATTGCTTGAATAAATCATAAGAACCAATTTATTTTTCAAAAAGCACAGTTTGAAATCGTAAAGACAATGTTCATATAAGTTTGAAAGAATATGAACATGACTGATTCATGCCCGTAATAATTTCATTGTTCACAGTTCGGATTCTCGCTTTGTCCAGTAGTTTAGAATGATTTTTTAATTGTAATCTTTCAAAATCAGAGATAATTCATCATGGGTTCTGATGGCGTTTTGTTAAGGCCGTGGAACATTTCGAGCGTAAATACGACATATGCGCAATTCGAGTGGATCTTCCGCTGGTGCATAACGCTCTCGACTTTTATTTCACAAGTATGAACGTGCCCGGAGAGCCGGCAATGGTACATGAAATGAGTGGAATAAAAGTGATTATTTAACG